TTTGCTTCAGTTTCTTTTTGAACTGGCTTCCTAACTTGGCCTTATTAAGGCGTTGCCATGCTGAACCTGATGTGCAGTGCATTGCAGCCCAGAGATTGGGTTTATCACAACCTTCAATCTGCGACTGCAACTGGATTTCTCCTTCATCTGTGCTAAGGTCGATGAACTCTTTAGCCAGCCTAACATGAGGTATGCCAAGACCTTCAAACACGCGACCCATATTGGACTCTGGTGAACATGCGTATTCGAACATCACAGGCAACTTATCAATGCGTGCTGTCGCTTGCGGGCACGATGATTTCCTACCTCAAACTGCTTGGGCTGCGGAGCTTCAACCTTTGCGCTGCACGGCATGCCAAAAATTGGCAATGTGTCTGGACGGCCGTTCTTTGACGCTTCGGTGAGAGGTGTCGGCGGCATCACGGCTGCACCTGTGGCGATAACGCAATCGGACTGCATGGGTTTTAACTTGAACACTGTGAACCTGGTCCATGGATCTCCAAGTGAGCGGTTATGTCGGCTACCAAACCAACCATCGTGAATGTTGTCCGCTTTGCCCCCCTGAAACACGGCACGAGTCGTGCGAGCTGCAGTAAATCTTTCTGGGGAAACGGGGCAATCCTCGACCTCCTTCGGGGTAAAAAGATTCTGCCTTGGCATGATATGGCATCGAACCAAACAGTTGGCATTTTCTTTGAACACCCAAAAATCTTCACCTTGCGATGTAGCGGCTGTCGCTGGCGCGGTATCGAAAAATGAGGCACCGGGTCTTGAGGGAGCGGGCTCCCCGGCTTCGGCTGCATCAAATTCATGCGCAACGTCTTCTGCACTAACTGCGATTTGAGGATCCTCCTCATGCTCAGATGCGTGGATTGCTCTGGCTAGCTCCTCATCCCCTTCGGTATGAACAATGGGAATGGGTTCCTTAGATTCAGTTTTGGCAGCGCTTTTTGCAGCTGCTTCAGCTCGATCTGCAGAAACAAGTTCGGAGAACCTCTTCTTGCATTCGGCACTGTGAATCTTGGAATGACCGGTGCATGCACGACAACCTGGCGTTTCCTTGAACTTGATGATCCTCTCAACAGTTATGTACACGGATTTTGACTTGACAGCGGATGGAGTCGGTGGGGCACCAAAGGGGGCCTCCCGCAGGGGCAAAGTTGGGGGATCTGACCCGTCTGTCTTGCCACCATGCAATGCTCTATCTGCTGCTGCTGCGATCGGGAAGCTTGGGGGTCCGTCCTCAACGAACAATTCCGGTTCAGGAACGTCGTGAACGGAAATGGAACCATCTTTACGGAAGGCTTCATAGTCCATGACTTTGACCACATTACGGTACCGCAACCCCGGATCGACCCTCCAACCCAGAAAGAGCGCTGGCGCCATGTTCGGATCGAGAGTGCGCTTGCCAGGAGTCTTGGTTCTGTACCAAACCAGTTGCCCGAAACAGCATCTCTTCCCTTGGAACTTTTCCTTGGTGAGAGCTTCCCATTGGGTTTTACCGGGGCTGAATGGAGCAGGCCTGTCGAACGACATGGAGAGGCATGCAAATGGGTAGCTAAACGTGTGCAACGAATAGGGCAACCCTGATTGCAAGTGGATGCTGCGACAGCATTCCTTCTCTTCGCGAATGTCGCGCTCCAGGACGGTGTTGTGTGGCCACCTGTTGGGCAAGCTTGTCTCTGGGACGAGACCGACTTCGTGGGCCGCTCCTTCGAGCTCTCCTGCTGCATCCATTTTTATTAGACATGCTGGCGGCGAATCAGTGGCCCGAAGGCCCATGAACTGACGGAAGTTTTTAACATGCGCTTGCGTGTCCCGCCTACTCACAGGGTATGCGAGGCGAACGCCTGAGAAAACATCACGTACTACATGGTGGGATTTGATTCCTCCGAAACCTACTCCGAGATGTTCATCGCCCATGGCAAGAATCACGGAATCGGTAGCCAACTGTTGAAATGGTGCGGTTGGGACATCGACTTTGTCGTCTGATCTGGCATCCTTTTTGTGTGCTACCCTTGCAGAAGTGGTCTTTGAGATTGAACACACCTTGCAAAACGGGTTCTTAGGGAAATGGGACCTCATGTGCTCAGGAGATTTTGCTTGCTCCTTCAACGCAGTATCATGTGTCGGGTCACCATCCCCGAAGGCGATCAACGGAAGTTCGTCCTCGGGAGGAGGGGCTTCCTCGGCCGCTAGCATATTCACAGGAACCTGATCTGGCTCGCCTTCATCTGACGCTTGACACGAGTCATCGCACAAAGAAACGACATCGTCTTCGGCCGCGCTCATAGCAGCGGCTTCAATCGGCCAGAGGTGAGTTGACGACTCTGCCAACTTGGGCTTTACCGCCTCATCATACTGGGGAACGTATTCCACTACCCTAGATGCATTAATGCGCGCATTGCGGGGCACGTTAATCTTGCATCTACTGATGTCCTTTGGGGGAACATGGATTGCGCTGGTGGGCAATCACGGAGGACGTACACCTGTTCTTCAGCAGGTATCACTCGGCTGTCCTCGAACCCTAATGAAGTGGTGCCTTGTTGGGCACCACCCCCAGTCGCAAAACCTATACGGGTGTGCTGCTCTCGCGCACGCACTTGATCATGTTGCTATTCAAAGCTTGACGTCCGATCAAGTGTCTCCCTGCGGCAGTATCCCAAAGCCAACTGATGCTTGTCGTCAGAAGCGACGCTTGCCATTGCCGGAATGAGCTGTGCAACAGCTGCACTCGCCTTTGGCGGCGGCGGTGACAACAAACTTTTGGGCTTGGGACCAGTGTACTTGTTGGTATCACTGTGGAGAAATGCGCACTGCTTGGCCTTGCACGAATTATAGGCATAAAACATGCATGGCGTCTTGGCTTTCTCTGCCGCGGTCATACTGGCTGTCTTGCTGATGGCCTTAGACCTAGGAGTAAGGTTATCTTCGGCTTGCAGTCACTTGGTTTCCGTCTAGCAGCGAAAACGTTACAAATTCAACATGAAGCACACACACAGCGAGAGAAACAACGGGCCAAGTGGACATTGCACAACCGTTGCAGATCAGGGGTCTTCGTTGGCCTGAGTCCTGATGAGAAGCCTCAAGCCCCCTGCTGTAGAGGTGAAAACTTGA